AGCATACTCACCCACAAGCCCAGACCACCCCCCCCAGCCACAGCAACCCAAGTCACAAGCAAAGTCCACAGCCACTGCAACCCAAGACACAAGCAAGGCCCACAGCCACAACAGCCCAAGGCACAAGCAAGGCCCACAACCACAACAGCCCAAGTCACAAGCAAGGCCCACAGCCACTGCAACCTACTGCAACCCAAGACACAAGCAAGGCCCACAGCCACAACAGCCCAAGGCACAAGCAAGGCCCACAACCACTGCAACCCAAGGCACAAGCAAGACCCACAGCCACTGCAACCCAAGGACAAGGAACAGAGAGGCTCACGGCCGTGGCAAACCCGAATCAATTCTCTATAGGTTTTGATATACATAGGAGAGTATGAAAAATCACCAATCTTTCAAGGTAACAAGTTTAACCCCTCAATAATCATTCAAATGATTCAAGACTCAACAGGAGGGGATAAATTAAACTCAAGAAATTCCAATGGGTTTCACGGGTAGGAGTAGGAATCAAAGCCAGCCAACCTCCTCTCGGGTAAGGGCAAAGCAAAAGCAAACGGAGCTCCCAAGTCAAGCCAAGGCTGAACCATAGCCAAGGTTCGAATTCAGGCTACAACAAACTAGCAAAAAGAACACATTTTTTTTTATCCCTGGCACATCAAAACAGAGAACCAACATATGTCATATACAAGCTCAACTAAAGAGCTCCTCCGAACAAACATAAATTCATCCACCGCACGCATAATTGAGCTAACATGCCAATGGGATGCCAAAACCCAACCCAGCAGAGGTCAAATAGATCCAACCCGAGCCCAGCAGAAGCCGAAGCCAGACAAAGATACTCAAGTCAATCCGAGCCCAACAGAAGCCAAACAAAGCCAACCCGAGCCCAGCAGAAGCCAGACAAAACCAACCCGAGCCCAACAGAGGCTAAACAAAACCAACCCAGCTAAAACCAGCCCCCAACTACAAAGCCAGCTATTTAAAACTTGAAATTAAGCTTGACAATATTAAAAAGCATTAAACATCCAACCATTTCAGCTAAAAAAAAAAATGACCTCAAACAATGCTAAAACTGAGTTCAGCAAGAGCCAAAGAGCCAAACCGAGCCTAGCAGAGGCAAGACAAAGCAAATACAACCCTTCCCCCCCCTAGAGTTAAACCAAGCTCAAAAGGGCTAAACCCAACCAAGGACCTAGTTCAATCGAGAAACAGAGCCAAAGCCCAGCTCCCAACAGGAAACAGAAACCATACTCGAGAAACAGAGCCCAAAGCCAAACTCCAACTAGAAAACAGGAACCATACTCGAGAAACAGAGCCAAAGCCAAACTCCAACTAGATGCTTCCAACATAAACATGCCACAATAATCATAAAGATGCCATAGTCTTCCTAGCTTAAGCAAGTAACCAAGCCTAGTTTCAACACCTGCTCATATTTTTTACTTCCAAATGCATAAAAGAAAAATATATCCAAATAAAACGAGCTAACATGCTGTAATATCCATCAGAGGTAAGCTCAAGGCTCGGCCAAGAGAAAACCGAAGAGCAACGAGGC